ATGGTTCATCCAAACCTTCGACTACTACAAGGTGTGGCTTGTATCACAATCTCTTACTCAACAGTGTGGAAGCAAAATTTGTATAAGTTGTCTCTCCCACATTTTCAAATTTCTAGTTTCCCAAAAAAAAAAATGGGAAATTCAACAAAGCTTTATCAATGGAAGACAACTACAAATTCTCAAAAGCTTCACACTATCTTGATCAAGATAGTGTGAAGCAAAATCAATTCATGGTACCCAATAAAAGCTTCAACTCCAAAGCTTCACCTACAAAGCTTCAACTCCAAAGCTTCAACTCCAAAGCTTCACCTACAAAACTTTAACTCCAAAGCTTCACCAACAAAAGCTTCATCAATGGAGGATAACTACAAATTCTCAAAAGCTTCATACTATCTTGATCAAGATAGTGTGAAGAAAAATCAATTCATGGTACCCAACAAAAGCTTCAACTCCAAAGCTTCACCTACAAAGCTTCAACTCCAAAGCTTCACCTACAAAAGCTTCAACACAAAAACTTCACCCACAAAAGCTTCAACACAAAAGCTTCACCTACAAAAGCTTGACCCACAAAAGCTTGACCCACAAAAGCTTCACCCATAAAAGCTTGACCCACAAACGCTTGACCTACAAAAACTTCACCCACAAAAGCTTCACCTACAAAAGTTTCACCTACAAAAGTTTCACCCACAAAAGCTTCACCCACAAAAGCTTCAACACAAAAGCTTCACACTATCTTGATTAAGATAGTGTGAAGCAAAATCAATTCATGGTGCCCAACAAAGCTTCAACCTCAAAGCTTCACCTACAAAGCTTTAAAATATATATATATATATATATATATATATATTTTCGGAAATTCAAAAATTCAAAAATTCAAAAATTCGAAAATTCAAAAATTCGGAAATTTAAAAATTCGAAAATTCGAAGAAAAAAAAATTGCCTAGGCCTCCTCTTCTTTGGTCCTAATAACTTTCATAACAAATATATATGAAGAAGGAGTTTTGGGCTACCACTTAGAAAGGAAATGCCTCATTCGTTAACTCCCTCGATCGGAGACTTGGGCGACTCCTACCATATGCTACTGCACCGTGATACTCGGAAGTCTCACGACCACTCAGTGACTTGGATTTTTCAAGTCTCCAAACGAGAAGTTTTCCTCACTCGGGAAATTAAGGGAGCACTACCTCAACCTACATGCTTCACTCACAAAACTTCAACATACAAGCTTCAACAAAAGGAAAAATTCAAAGAACTTAGTGAAGAAGCCCTTGGTGTATTTAACACAATACGTTGAAATGAAGCAAATCGTTTATTGATACCTCCGATAAGTTACAAATATGTACATATTCATGAATCAAAATAAATAAACAAGAGAAAGCCTTCACAAAGGTTGCTCAGGAGAAGTCTTAACAGTCGGCAGAGCCTCAGAAAGAGGAGGCACCAGAGGGTGATTATTCGGAGCCTCAGTACTAGGCAGAACCCCAGAATGAGGAGGCACCAAAGGTTGATCATTTAGAGCTTCATTACGCGGTACAGCCTCAGAAAACGAAGGCAATAAATGTCTTTAGAACAAACCCACAAACCTCTGATGATCAAGTAAAATCTGAACATTAGATTCCTGCAGCTGGTCGAGATTCCTCTTCATGTTTGTAGCATAGTCATGTGCGAGCCTGTGCAACTGTTTATTCTCATGCTTGAGCCCTCTGATCTCCTGTTTGAGACTTATCACTTCAGCCGCCAATGATTCAACTTGGCGGGTTCGAGCAAATAGGCGTTGGGCCATATTAGACACAAAACCTGCACACTAAACACTAAGAGCCAGAGAATCCTTAACAGCTAACTCATCAGACCGCTTGAAAAGTAGTCTGTTATCTTTAGGAGTAAGAAGGTTCGTGGCCATCACCGCAGCAGTCATATCATTCTTTATCACAAAGTCCCCAACTATAAGAGGACCAGTAGGGGATAAGAATGATGGGCGCCATATGTTGTCTTGAGAAGGTATGGCTGCCTCTTCACCAAAGTTCAAGTCAAAACGACGGTCGGATGGGCCAGACATTCTCATAAATGATGAGGTGCAATAAATCTCTGAAGTAAGGGAAAAATTCCTACAAGCAATAACTCTCTGAATGTACTCCTTGCACACAATTGGTGCCCTTATAAAAGAAATGACAACAGGGCCGTTGGTTCAAAAATCGAAGAGGCACCACTCTCCGGATTTCGAAGAGGCACCACTTTCCACACACAACATCAGCTCCTCGTGTACCACAAATAACTTTGCCAAATATCTCTGACAAAGTTTAGACACATAAATTTTGAAGGTCCAACTACCTTATTATTACCCACAAGGGTAAAGGAACAACACTACTGCTTGATAACTAGAAAGTCCCAATGTGTCAACCTCCGTGCTCCGTGGCAAGGCAGACTGGCAAAAATGCCCAACCTTTACTCACATTCAAGAAAACACTCCCAACAAGATTGCTAGCTCAAAAATCGAAGAGACACTGCTCTCTGAATCTCAAGAGTCAGACTTCCAACATGATTGCTTTCTCAAAAATCAAAGAGGCACTGTTCTCTGAATCTCGAGAGCCAGATCTTCGACAGGATTGCTTGTTCGAAAACCGAAGAGGCACCGCTCTTCGAACTTCGAGAGCCAGATTTCCTTGGATAAAGCTTGTCTGCAATCTTCACATGCAACATCAGCTTTCTGATTCCACAGACCACTTTTTCAAAGCGCTCTGACAAAGTTAAAACATGTGAAGCTTGCAGCTCTCACTACATTGCTATGACCAAGAAAGGTAAAGGAATAGCATTATTACTTGCTTAAAAATCGAAAAGGCACCGCACTCCGAATCTCGAGAGCCAAACTCCCAATAGGATTACTTTCTCAAAAATTGAAGAGGCATCGCTCTCCGAATCTCAAGAGCCAGACTCCCAACAGGATTGCTTTCTCAAAAATCGAAGAGGCACCGCTCTCCGAATCTCGAGAGCAAGATCCCCGACAGGATTGCTTGTTCGAAAACCGAAGAGGCATCGCTCTCCGAACTTCGAGAACCAGATTTCCTTGGATAAAGCTTGTCTGCAATCTTCACACACAACATCAGCTTTCCAGATACCACATACCACTTTTTCAAAGTGCTCTAACAAAGTTAAAACATGTGAAGCTTGCAGCTCCCACTACATTATTACGACCAAGATGGGTAAAGGAATAGCATTATTACTTGTTGTTAGGGAGACTCCTATATATGTCAACCTCCATCCTCCACGGACCGACAGACCTGCAAAAATGCTCAACCCTTCCTCATATCTGAGAGGGCACTCTAACGAAGCCTCTCGAAATACTCAGCTTTCTTTCCCCCAATAATACATATGCAAACCAGCCACACAAGAGCAAGAGTATCTCATATCATCAGGGTTAAAAGTAAGAGTATCCCATATCATGCTTTTTCCCTGTCTTTTCCTTTGTCCTTGTTCTTACCTACAAGACAAGGAGAAAGAGAGCAATCAGTCAGCACTTGGAATCAAGCTTCCAGTCAGAAACTGACTGCCTGGAACCCATTGCCTGATTACTTACCTGATATTGCTCTCGAGTACTCATCTTTAACATTTTATGCTTCCAGAAAAGACACCACATCTGCCTGAGGAACGGATAGGCTAAGTGAGAAAGATACAAGGAAGCATGTGGAGACAAGCGCAACAAAACATATGTCGATTCATCTATTACTTCGTCAACAGCAAAAGTATCACATATCATCAAGGTCGAACGCACTCTTGATTTAATGGACTTGTTTTGACCCTCAAATTCTTGAGTCGGCCTTATACTCTGGAGGAAACCAGAAAACCCTCAAGCCCAATTCAAGAATAAGCATGTGGAAAGTTACTTCTTCAAAAGCAAAAGTATCTCATATCATCTCTTCTTCATTTGATTATCCTTATCCTTGTTGCTGTTTACGACACAAGGAGAAGGAGAACAATCAACCGGAAGCCGAAGTCGAACCTCCAATCCAGGTTGTTTGCTTGGAAGTCTGATTGCTTACCTTGTCTGTTACCTCTTTCGGAAAATCTCCTAGCTCGGCGACTTGGGGGACTCCTACTATAGGGTTTTGTATCGCACTTGACCAAGCCTGAAACTACAAGTAAGCTTCAAGTGAAATTGATACATTACCTTGTGCATCTTCATCGGTTAAAGATACCACCCCTGGATGGAGGAAAAGTACTTACAGAGAAAATGCCACATCTACGTATGAGACACATAAGGCAAGTGAAAATGATACCACACTTCGGTACTTAGAAGTTTCGTGATTACTCAATGGCTTGGATCTTGCAAGTCCCCAACCAAGGAGCTTCCCTCACTCGGGAACTTAGGGGAGCACTGTTTGTACCATACTTGACCAATCCCGAAACTACTGAGCATCGGTCAACGTTATACCGTCAAGGACCCAGAAGAGTTTCCTTCCAACCAGGAGGCCAATCATAGTGCGACACGTGTTGACATCAGAAGCCAATCATAGCGCGACACGTGTCAACATCAGAAGCCAATCACAACACGACATGTGTCAATGTCAGAATGAAACTAGAAACCCTCTTCTATAAATAGAGATCATTCTTTCACAATATTTCCTAATGTCATTTGTACTAAATCATTCACTAGTACTCACTAAATGAGAGCTTGAACCTATGTACTTGTGTAAACCCTTCACAATTAATGAGAACTCCTCTACTCCGTGGACGTAGCCAATCTAGGTGAACCACGTACATCTTGTGTTTGCTTCCCTGTCTCTATCCATTTACATATTTATCCACACTAGTGACCGGAGCAATCTAGCGAAGGTCACAAACTTAACACTTTCTGTTGTACCAAAGTCATCACTGATTTTGTGCATCAACAGGTGACTTAGAAACTAGATGGGTTCAATCATCAAGAAGGTCCAAGGGAGAAAGTTACTAAAATCTCTTTTTAAAAGCCAATGATAGGTGAACTAAAAAAGGAATGAATACCCAATATATATAATGAACATTTTTTTTTCCATATAAATCTTATAGATTCTCGGTCATTATACAAATCGTGTGTGGTCGTATATAATTTACAGAACATGAAGTATTATACTGTACAAGGCCTTTTAAATGGCTACGTACCATCCTTAACTTCTAAATCAATTTTCTGCACAAGATTTTGTCATCTCCTTGACCACCAAAGCTCTAGCTCGATTGATTGTTACAAGACACAAATACACATGCTCTTGAAGCTCTTCCACTTGCTTCCTGAATCCAACATCAGTTTTCTTAAGCTCCTTCACAACCTGCAAAGAAAACTTATCCTCTCTCCTCTCCAAGCAGAACCGGATCATCGCCTTGTTGTGTTCAACCTCATCATGAAGCCTTGCCACAAGTCGGCTCATCGTGTCGAAATCCCTATTCAAAATATAAATCCCTTTGGCTGCCACATCAAGTTGTTCTCCAACTTTGGTAAGAATCCTACTTCTCAAAAATGGAATGCTACGCGGTTTTTTCTTGAAGCTTTTAAATGGGAAGCTGATGAGAGCTGGCCCCATGAGCAAGGCAGTGAGAGTATGTGCTGCTAAAACAATAGCGGTTATAGCAATCAAACTACAAGCTGCTGTTATGCAAATCCCAGTGGCCTTTTTGAAACATTTAATGCGCTTAATCTTCCGCGACACCTTTTTCCTCATCGACTTTAGGTGGTGCAAAACCGACGAGTACTTTTCATGAATGAGCTCAAAGTCATGGTTATTAGGGTTTGAAAAAGGGTTAATGTTGTTTTGAAGTATGAGCAAGTTTAGCTCCGAAATAATGGATTTGATTTTGTCCGGTGAGTATTCTTCAAATTTATCAAGTTCTTGTTGAACAAAGTGGTAACTGGATTGGACATGGTTGATGCTTTTTAAGAGGTGGCTGCATATTTTTGAGGCTTCAGCACTTATGTCAAAGTAGTTGAGCATAAGGCCCTTCAATTTAGGTTCCTTCGAAAGAATTGCCGAGTCAAGGATATCTGGTATGGCTTCTTGACCAGGTTCTAGGAGGACTTCTGTCAATTTGTGATCATGGTTGTAATTCAAAGGAGATGATGATGACTCGTTTACAAGCAACTGAGCTTTGTTGAAGAAGTCTGCATAGGATTTGGTTCTAAATGCACTTAGGTACTCCTCGTTTAGATTGAAGCTTTTACGAACTTGCCTTATCACTTCTTTCCCTGAAAACGATAATCCAAAATTGGTAATCCATATATATGAAGACCATCTTATGCTTGCGAAAGATTCAAAGTGCTACCAACCTATCATGCAGTGTATTTCTCAGAAGAGATTTATCATGACGAGTGTAGCAATAATTGAGCATGATGGTAACAAGAGAACCCTAGAAAGACCACTTTCCTCTTTCTGCTAAAACTTCAAGTTGATGTCTTATTTCTTTCCCAACATATATAGATACAAGATAGGTACATATTGTTCTCAAAACTTGGTAACCAGTTAGTTTTCACATTCAAAAAATCCAACAGGCAACATGGCAAACCACATGCTATAGAGTTCTCTCTTTTAGATCTGTTAACCCAGAGCTTAGAGTAATATGGCATAGAACACAAAAAAAAGAAAATACATACGTACATACATACATATATATATATATATAAAGGGAAAAAAGAGATAGAAGATATACATACCCTTTGCAATATTTGAAGAAGCTCTAAGTTTTGCCCACATCTTTTGGTCGATCTTTAATTTAGAAGAACAAAGTCGATGTCGATCTTATGTAGGCTACGAGGACGAGGTAGCTCCCAAATTTTAAAGGAGAGATCTATAAATGATGTCGAACTCATAACCCCACTATATACGAACCTTGTAAGAAAGAACAATGAATGAGGTAGCTATTCAACTTTCTAGCTAATTAGTTTGTTCATATATCTTTGCTTTAATAAAGCCTCTAAAAGTCTGTTTAAGGATTGTAGTTCACGCTGTAATCTCATATGAGAGAGAGAGAGAGAGAGAGAGAGAGAGAGAGAGAGAGAGAGAACTTCTCCAATTTGTTTGCAAGCTTCAAATGCTAAATTTGCTGAAGAGCCTTTCCCTCTTCAGGACCTTTTTTGCATCTGAAAATCCTCCTTTGGCCCCTCTTTATTGTCTTTATGTACATTTTCTTCTTACATACAGCTATATATAAAACTTTATATGATTACTTACACCGTCTCTTTCTTAACCTAGAGGAGTATCAAGGAGTCTGATCGAAGCCTACAAGCACAAAACATCGCAACCCCTCGATTTAGGGCATGAAAATTACCATTGAACCCTTTAAGATTGATGAATATTCTCAGATATATATATAGAGTTTTAGTTAACTATATATAAACAAATTCAGGTCGGAAGGTTTACGTGGATAACTAATAATAAAGGCACCTCTTTGATGTTTGCATGGGCTATCGCCAAACTTTAAACTCAATCGTCGATGTCTTGCTATGCTTTTTATGTTTTGAGCCACGCATGAAACTACCAAATCCCAAAATCATTAGCAATCCATCATTGTCACATTTTCGTCATCTACAATCGATGCTTTTTTCTTTCGTATATAAATTCTTACGAGAGAAATGCTAAGGAGACTTTTAAAAAAATGTGACTTTTTAAGATTCTCTACCACTTAATGTTTTTTTACACATATTTTGTAATATTAGTATGAAAATTAATGTTAAACTGTGAGATGTCAGAGAGTACATAGTCCCACTTTGAGAGTCTTGGCATTTATCTTCTTCTTTCAACTAAAAATTTGCAATATTTAACCATAACATGTGGCTCAGTAGTAAGGGCATGGATTGCGGCTCCCCAATAAACAAAAAAATGTGCGAGGTCTCGGGTTCAATGCTCTAAGCTGGTGAGTTTGCTTGATTGTGGCCACGGACAGGGTGAAATTCCCAATAGCCTCTCCAAGCTTGAAAGAGGTGAATATTGTTCCCCTTTATTTAAGAAAAAAAATTGCACTATTTAAACTAATCTTTTGACCGTTTTTATTTTAATGGAAGCATTATCTCTATCTGACTTTAGGATCAATTTAGTAATACCTATGTTATAGAAATTTATGGTACGTAGATGTATGTACCTAATTAATTAGTTATTGAGAAATCATAGTCCTCAAGAAACTCCTGTATATGAGAGCCACTAATTGTAAGATGGTTCGTTAATTACTCGACAATAAATTTGGTTTCATATTCCAAATACTAATACTTTGCCTCGTACCGTGGAAGAAAACAATAAAGCCTGTTTGGTAGCCTTTTACATACTTTGGTCGATGTTTTTGGGAGTACTTTAACATCAACTATGTTTAACCAATTTTACGAAGATTTTTTTTTTCTTGAAAGACAAATTGTCCTTATACTGTAAAAACAAGAATTGCTTGAAGTTTGCGATTTACCACAGTGGTGAAAAGCATTCAGGTTTATGCATTTTGATGCGGATTTGATCTCCACCGATTCTCCTTTCTCTTAATAATGAACTAGTAACCTACTAAAGCTATCGCTCAACTATAAATAAATAAAAAATAAATAAAAAAAAAAGCTTGAAAGCTATTAACCAAGAGTCCAAGTCAAAAGTGAATTCTATCACTTAGTTCCGTTTCTTATCATCCAATTCAAATGTAAATGTTGATTAGTAAGTATAGTTGTTTCATTATTTCCATAGGACTGTAAAGTCTGTACTATATATATGTGAAAGCAATGAATGAAAGCCATCGCTTTCACAGAAACATTTTCCCTGCAAACTTACATTTCTACAAAATCTCGAAATCTCAAAAAACCCTAGAGAGAGATCTAGCATTCCTGATCCATTAATTTGAAACCAATAAAGACCCTATATTTGTGCAGCTTGTTTATCTCTTATCTCAACTAGCAAAAAAAAAACCATGCATTACAGCATTAGCCATTAAGCACCTGAAATGGTTGAAACCCTCGCAGGAGAGAAGAGCATATTAAAAAATGGATGGTTAATGATGCCAAAAGTATTTGTCCAAACATCAAATGCCAAAAATATACGTGTAAAAAATTTGGCCGGAGGAACTTCTAGTGTGGTATAAGGGGCATAACCGATATTAAAACAAACATAGGTCGTACCCAGTGCACAAGGCTCCCGCTTTACGCAGGGTTTGGGAGAGGGAAATGTCGGCTAGCCTTACCCCTATTTATGGAGAGGCTGCTCCCAAGATATTAAAACAAACATGGAGGGGAAAAATGCATTGAGCTGACATAATACGAGTAGGTTGTGATTCAATTGAACGGGGGAGTTGAGGCTTCATCAAGGTAGGTCGGCAGGCAAACCTGAAATCTGTCGATTATTGTACAAGATAGAACGAACGCCGCTAACTAATATTGCTTTTGTGATTTAAAAGATATGCATCTCATAAACGCATAGGGTAATACTAGAGAGATGATTTTTTCAAATCTTATTTTATAAACTACATGATACGGTAGTTGATAATTAGTCTTTTTAAAAAAAAAAATTAAATCATGAAGTCTTAATTTATCACCGCATCATGTGGCTTACAATGTAATTTAATAAAACGTGGATCACGTGGAGTTATTAATTTGATGACATCTGGTACAGCAGTTTACAGGTTAATAATGAAGAGATAAAAGAGAGAGAGAGAGCGTGATGAATTAACGTGGATAGCTGAACAATATGTGATGGAGGGGATCATGCATATCTCATGCACTTGGTTTGGCATTTGTCCCCCATATATATGCTTAGTTATTGCGTACAAGTTTATAACTATTAACTTTCTCTTTTTTTTTTCTTTTCTTCCTTTGTTTTTATTGACAAAGATAGAAGCACCGCAAACAATCCAGAACATTCACGGGATTGCTTGCAATGTTTCTTGCTGCAGGGTTGGATAAAAGCCTCCATCAGCATTCATGGTGTTAGACACTCATTCAACGGGAGAGCGGAAGTTCTCTGAATAAAAATACCAATTGTTGAACCAAAATCTGCTCGTTGCCAAAAGACGATGGTTCGACTCATGCATAACCTGCAAGACAGTAAATATCGTAAAAAGGTCTAGGCAAAAGTGTGGTATTAGTTAAAAACTCTTCGACGATCAAGTTAATAAATTTGATAGGTGGTAAACACCAGTCTGATTTCTCCACCAGCTTCCAACACCTCGTCAATTTAATTCCTTCTCACTTTAATTCCTTCAATTCTAATTACAAATCAGTAAACGAGCTATTAGAATAGGAAAAAAATTTCATAATTGGGCCTGGGCCAAATTTGCTTCATTGACCCCTCCCAGCCTGAGAATTGAAGTTAAACCTCTCTCCTCCAGCCCACAGATCAGTCCGCATGCCACGCTGGACGAATATGTGCAATTCAACTCACCAATCTGCTCACGACACCACACAACCTTGCATCACAGCCGTCCCTGCCGTCCGTGACGATAGCAATCCCTGACTGTGGCCGGGTCAACAACCATACTCCAGGCATCCGGCTAAACTCATCTACCACGCGACCACACACATATCCCCTACAACCGCCAGTCCGATTGCGCTATTCTGTGGGGCCTACGTAAGTCCCACCGGGACCCACGAACCCTTGCAAATCATAATCTCGGTTCTCGGTTTGTATTAAATACTTGGTCCCACCAAAATATCCGCACCAAAAAAGGTTCTGGGATGTGACAAACTGCTTCGCTTCGCTCGTTGAAAGGGGTTCTTCTCACTGAGCTTCGGTGCGGGGCCTGATCCCAACAAAACACCGGATCAGAACCCTAAAAGTTCCAATTCTAGAGAGAGAGAGAGAGAGAGAGTGATTCTAGAGAGAGAAAGATAGCGGACAGTCCGAGGGGCCTGAGAAATCAGCGACGGAAGAGATGGCGTCGTCGAAGCTAATGTCGTCGTCGTCGTCGTCGAGATCACGAAACTCGGATCTCTCCCGACGCCCTTCTTCCAATTTCTCCCCCGCTACAAAGCCCCAGCCCACCACCACCACTGCACACCCGTCTTCCTCCTCTGCGCACCCCCAATCCCTAAACAACTACCAGAACAGCAACACTAGTACGACGCTGGCCTTTCCAATCGGCTCCATAACCGTTGACGGTCTCCTCTACGACTCCAACCCCACCCCTATGACCGACGCCACCCTCCTCAACGCTCAAATTACCCTACTCGACTCCTCCGCAGAAATTAATAGCTCCACTGCGCCGCCGCCGCCGAAAACTGTTGACGAAGTTTGGCGGGAAATTGTGTCCGGCGAATGTCGGAAGGAGTGTAAAGAGGAGGTTCCCGATGAGATGATGACTCTGGAGGACTTTTTGGCTAGGGCCGGGGCCGTGGAAGAGAACGACATTAAGGATTTTCCGCTTGCGCCGCCGCCGCCCGAGACGGAGAGATTGAGCAGCGGAGTATTTTCCTTTGATCAGATCCCGCTCAGCCCGTTCGGGTCGATTGATAAGGTTGAAGGGTCGATTGTTGGGTTTGGAAATGTGGCGGACCCTGCTGGGAGTGGAGGAGGAGTGGGGAGACGGAAGAGGGGGCGCGCCGTTATGGAGCCGATGGATAAGGCGTCGCAGCAGAGACAGAAAAGGATGATCAAGAACCGGGAATCGGCGGCCAGGTCCAGAGAGAGAAAGCAGGTGTGGAATTGGGTTTTTGATGAAATGGTGTATGTGATATTTCTTTTGTTTGTTTTTTCATGCTTATTTGTACTTTTCTGATTGTGGGGTTTTTGGATTTTAGGCTTATCAAGATGAATTGGAGTCATTGGCAGTCCGGTTAGAGGAGGAAAACGAGCAGCTTTTGAAAGAACAGGTAATCGAATTATGAATCTAATGTGCTTTAGACTGTAGTTGGCCACCGAATTGCGGTGAGAAATGCGCTTTTCCACTATGAAATGGTAGTAGAAGTTCAGTACTTTGGTAGCATTAGAGTTTGGGGCCAAATTGAGCTGTGTTTGAGTCGCAATCAGCATTCGGTATAGTTATGACAGTTTGTTACTTTGTTAAATTTTCCAACAAAACGACTTTTCCTTTCACATGTCTCATTTTGCTGAGGTTGCAGACGTTTTGTCAATTACAAATATGCAACTCCAAACGGTCACCAATTTGATTTGACTTGTCTGACTACTGTGTTCGTATGCTGTGATGAAATTCCACTTCTATTGTGTATAAAGCAGTATGTAGTCATACTTTAACCAAATATTGTTACTTTGCTTTGTTTCATCCCATTGAAGACTTTCATTATCATTGTCAGCAGCGCTGTAAATGAACAAACCTGTCGGGCTTGGCTTGATTAGTTAGTTAGCCTGATAGTTAACCCAAGCTGAA